ACTGAGGCAGAAGGATTGTAAATTCAAGGTCAGCTTCAGCAGCTTAGTAAGATTCTGTCTCAAAATAAAAAATAAAAAGGTCCAGGGACATAGCTCAGGGGTGAAACACTTCTTGGTTCTATCCCTGGTTCCTCCCACCCCCTCAAAAAAAAAAAAAAAAATCATGGTAGCTTCAAACATGGACAATTTAGCTTCTTCCTTTCTAATTTGGATTTGCCTTTTATTTCTCTTGCCTAATTGCTCTTACTAAGACTAGCTGTACTATAATAAGAGCAATGAAAGTACACACACACATCTTGTTCCTGATGTTAGAGGAAATGCTTTCAGCTTTTCCCCATTCCGTGTGATATTGGGTTGGCTGTAGATTTGTCCTATATGTAGCCTTTAATATGTTGAGGTATGATCCTTTTGTACCTGTTGTTGAATTTTATCAGATGCCTTTTCTGCATATATTGAGTGAATCACATGAATTTTAGCCTTCATTCTGTTGATGTATGTGATATACTATGTTTATTGACTTGTATCCCTGTAATGAAACCAGCTTGATCATGGTGTTTGATCGTTTTTTTGTGTGCTGCTGAATTCAACTAAGCACCTAGCTTTTTTTGTTTGTTTATTTATTGTTATTGTTTTTTCTTCACTATTGACTATACCCTTGACATACAGAGATAAATAAAATAGCAAGTCTGTGCTTTCTGGAGGCTGTGGTCAATTAAGGGAAATGAGGTTTAATTGTTAGAACTGAGCATTTGCCCTGCCCCCCGCCCAAAATTATCACTTTTCATTTAGTAACTCCTGTCAGTTTGGCATTTTGTACATATATATTTATGTATATGTTTAATGCTTAGAATAGTTATTGTTAAACCTATTTATTTTGATTGTGATATAAAGTAGCTGAATTAATGTTTAATATTATTGGCATTAAACTATTATTAACTGTAGATGTGTTTAAACATATAAAATATCATGGAAAGAATAATGTATACATGGAAGTATATATACTTTTAGTCTTGTAAAATTGCTAGAGATAACATTTATTAAAAAAAAACTTTTTTTTCTAAAGTACAACATGGTTTGTATCAGCCACTTAATTATTTTGCTTAACAAGAACAGGGGGGAAACCTTATTAAAACATCTCTCATATAATTTGAAATAATTTGGGCAATTAGAAATTGTAATTTTTAATAACTGAATTTAATTTAGTGATTTTTGTATTAAGAATGCCAAAACAATAAAATTCTTGGTAATAACCCAAGAATTTATAAAAGTCCAGTGTTAGTTTTCTTTAATAAAGTAAAAATCTGACAGAGAGGCAGGAGCATGCATAAAGCCATAAGTTCCTCAGGATTTGTGGGTTCCACATTACTTGGAATAAAGAGAGTTAACACTATTCTGCCAGCCAGAAAGTACCTCCTACTTAAGAGGCAGGGCTCCATCACCGTTATTAAATGAAGACTCTGCTCTTGGACAAACAGCCCTCCATGATTCTCACAGGGTATTTATAACATGGGGGAAGTACCCAGAACAGAATGTTTGTTGAGAATTTTGCATGTTATAGTGCTATACATCATATGGTTCAATTTAGGTTCTCTGAAATATCAGAGTTACAATGAAATTATCAAAAGGGAAAAAGTCACAGGCAGTGTTACAAACAAGATGCGCCTATTTGTATATATGCTTGCTAATGCAATTCAGTCATGATTCTCACTTTGATTTTAAGAGTGTTAGACCAACATTCAGCTTTACTCCTCATAATTAAATCTCTTGCCCACATGCAGACACAGGGCAGCAAAGAATAGGAGCACATTTTATCTTTTAAAAAGATATTGCATGGCTTTGATGAAGCTCCGGAGCCTCAAAGAGTTATAGTATAAAAGCAAAACAATATGTCTCTGAAGGTACGGTCATCTCTTAAGCAAGAGAAGGGCCAGAAGAGGGTCCGGACACTGAATCCATCAGACCCACAGAGGACAGACTTGATTTGAGTGTGTGGGGGCTGTGGAATTTGAGACAACCAACCCAATTTTGGTTTAGTCTCCAGTTTTGCCACCAGAAGAGAGGAAGAAAAAGGCCAATTAACAAGCACTACTAAGTTTTACTTGAAACTTGGGAATGAGTGGGACAGAAAGGGGGTCTAATTTAGTTGACTCAAGAAACAGCATTTATACATGAAATTTAGAAAAGCACCTACCTTTCTAGCCCCAACTCCACTGAGTATTCCAGTAAGCCAGACATCTCATAAGGGCCGGTGGAAGCCTTTTGCTCTCAGTTTACTCTGCTGTCCCCCTCCCCATCCTTCCCAGTAGAGCAGAGCCAGGACTGAGGAAGCTCTACCCTTGTGCTCACCGTCTTCTCTCTTGTGCAGTGGAAAAGAGCATTGGGGAATCTCCCAGGCTTTCAGTAACCAGCGTAGCTCCTGTGGCCCAAAAGTCATCCAGAATCTGTCTTATACTTAATTAAGAGTTAATGGTGGTTTGGGAAAGGGTGACTATATGCCCCAGATCTTTTTATTGTCCCTATTACTGCTAGATTTAATCCAAAACAGATACAGATAGGCCACATTATTTGCTCAACCCTAAATCAGACACTGAACACAGCCTTAGTGGGACTTCACTGTCACCCCTTGAATGTACTAAAGATGCTTAAATTTCCCACAGAACCTTTCAGCCAGTTTTATCTTAATTATTTTGATATTTCAGCCATTTACCAAAATTATTACTTTGACTACTCAGGGAAATGAAGTGATTCTCCACAGACTGCCAATCATGTAGCAGAAGAGCTACAGCAGAACAAAAAGCTTCTAACTACTCAGCTGTACTGGTTAGGACATCATTAAGTCCCCACCCCACTCCCTGATCTCTTCAGCTTTGTTCTGTTCCCAAGGGCTCTTAATATTTAAAAAAAAAAAAAAAATCTTATATCTGTTTTCCTCATTAAGACCAGAAAAGCTAAACACATAGCTCTGGGCAGAATCAGAACCATCCATAAAGAACCCTAAGCTAAGTAATCCTGGACTCTTCCTGGTCACTATCTCTGAGTATTAGGTTTTTCATCTGTTAAATTAATAATTGGGCTAGAAAATTTATCAAAGATACTTTCTAATTCCAAAGTTCTATTGTGCCTTGACTCTAGAAGCTAGCAAAGGGTTTATTCAGCTTGGTTTAGCAGGCTTAGTTTCCAAATTTCTTTTTCTATGGTATGAATAAACATTTCAGCACCAGTCAGTCAGGCTGAGCTCCTTATAGTGACATCTCACCATCTGAAAAGGAAAAATACAAGGAGTCTACAGATGGCCTGAAACTAAGAAATATGAGAGATATAGGTAACCTATCTGCTGTCTGGGTAAAAGCCATAGTGTGAAACACACAATTTCTATCTCTTCTGCATTAAGTTCATTAGATACCAACATTAGGATGTTAAGAAATATTGTTTACTGAATAATCATAACACATTCTGAAAGCATGCCATTTATTGACAAAACTGTTTTGGGGTCCTCTTAATGGTATATGCATCCATTCTACCACCTTCTCAGCCCTCATTGTATATACCCTGGGGTGCTTCAAACATGTTCTAAAACCTAAACATTAAACACCTATTGACTCTGAAGAGCTAAAGCATCTTATTTTTTTAAAGATTCCCTAGTGATCTGGACATGATGTTCTGTATACTGTTCTTATAAGCATTAGTTAAGAATCTCTCTAAACTGAAGATGATTTAGATTCAGGGTCCATCTCTGCACTTGGAAGTATTATGCAAGGATGATTGAGTTTGAATTTGAAGTAATATTTTAATTTACCCTTTGAATGAAGTTTAACAAGAATTGAGCTTGCTAGGACTGAGAGAATATGTGTGAGTGGTAATCTGGGTGGACTACATTATACCAGATTTCTGAGAGGGGGGAATGTTGTTTTGTTTCAAAGTAAAATAGTATGGTATAATGAAAATAATACAGGCCCCAGATGTAATCCTAAATCTACCTTTCATTAATCATGTCACTTTAAAAAGAAGAATATGCAGGCTGGGGATGTGGCTCAAGTGGTAGTGTGCTCACCTGGCATGCGTGGGACACTGGGTTCAATCCTCAGCACCACATTAATAAAAAAATGAAGTAAAGATATTGTGTCCACCTAAAATTAAGAAATAAATATTTGAAAAAAAAGAAGACTATGCAACCTTTTAACTTGTTATGCCTCAAATTAGATATACACATGAAAGTACTTTATAAAATCAATGTTGAGAAATACATAAATCTCATGCCTTTTTAAATGTTAAATATTGTGATTCAACCTTTGAGCAAAAAGCAAATAAAATGCTTTATTTTCTTCCTCTTTTCCTCCTTAAAAATGGCTTCTCAGCTCCTTTTATTGTGGTAGTTAAAACATTATTGTTAAATTGGAAACTTTAAGCCAAAGATAGTCTTAGTTATCTTGGTATCCTTTGTAATACCAAACACACAGTGGTTTACACAGAGTAAAATGAAGTATTTGTAAAGGAATTTGGAACCTGCTACAGTGAAAGTTGTTATAGTTTAGATATGAGGTGTCCCCCAGAAGCTCATGTTTGAGATAATACTAGAACATTCAGAGGTGAAAGGATTGGATTATGAGAGATTTAATCTAATCAGTGCATTAATCCACTGATTGGGATTAATTGGTAGTAACTATAGGCAGATAGGGTGTACCTGGAGGAGGTGGTCCCTGGGGGCATGCCTTTGGGGTATATACTTGTCTCTGGTGAGGATGTCTCTCTCTGCTTTCCTCCATCACACCCTTCCACCTTGATGTTCAGCCTTATCTTCACCCCAGAGCAGTGGAGTGGTCCGTTTATAGACTGAGACCATGAGCACCAAATAAACTGTTCCTCCTTAACACTGTTTCTGTCAGGTCTTTTGATCACAGCACTAAAAAAGCTGACTAAAACAAAAGTCTTATGCTTTTATTTAAGTTTCGAGAAGCAGAAAGGAATCAGGGAAGGTAATGAGAATAAAATATAGAGGGGAGGGCTGTTGGCTGGGGCCTGCTGTACACTGCTACAGCTAGGGGCTCGACTGTGGCCACCCCGCTTGTTGCTTTACTGGGTGCCACTCCCCCGGCTGGCCCGACGCGACGCGCCAGTAGCGCGACACAGATTCCTCCTGGACTCTTGGGCGCTGCTCTGAGCAGCGTCACCCTTTACACCAGAAAGCTGGCGGGCGCTATGGGGAAAAAACAAAATAAGAAGAAAGTAGAGGAGGTACTAGAAGAAGAAGAAGAGGAATATGTGGTGGAAAAAGTTCTCGATCGTCGGGTTGTAAAGGGCAAAGTGGAGTACCTCCTAAAGTGGAAAGGTTTCTCCGATGAGGACAATACATGGGAGCCAGAAGAGAACCTGGATTGTCCCGACCTCATTGCTGAGTTTCTACAGTCACAGAAAACAGCACATGAGACAGATAAATCAGAGGGCGGCAAGCGTAAAGCTGATTCGGATTCTGAAGATAAGGGAGAAGAGAGCAAACCAAAGAAGAAAAAAGAAGAGTCTGAAAAGCCACAGGGCTTTTCCCGGGGTTTGGAGCCGGAGCAAATTATTGGAGCTACAGACTCCAGTGGAGAGCTCATGTTCCTGATGAAATGGAAAAACTCTGATGAGGCTGACCTGGTCCCTGCCAAGGAAGCCAATGTCAAGTACCCACAGGTTGTCATATCCTTCTATGAGGAAAGGCTGACGTGGCATTCCTACCCCTCGGAGGATGATGATAAAAAAGATGACAAGAATTAACTCTTCTGAGTACCAGCCCCTGTCGCCTGTGACTGTGGGTTTAAGTGGGGAGGGAAGGAGTTCTACTTGTCTTGACACCATAAAGGTGGCTTGAGAAGATGTCCTTTGAAGAAATAGTCTAGTTTCTGTGCCCTGCAGCAGCCCAAGTGCTTTAAAGCTGTTCCAAGCTGTATAGTTTGCACACCCATCCCAGTGGAGGGGAAAGGGGTAAGTGTTTCAAGGCAACCCATTCTGCACTTTATTGAGAAAAGCAAAGGGCCTTCTATGAAGGACAAAATTTGCAGAATTGGGTGTGTGGGAAGGCAAAAAATACTGTTGATCTTCAAAGAGCATCTCCACAACCCACAGCCTTTCTTCCCAATAGTGTTAATTCTGCATTTTTACAGCATAGCATGTGTGTAGTTACTGGTGTATTATTTGGGGTGGGAGGGATTAGGCAGGGAAGAAGGGAGATGCATAGATCATTTTCTTTAAAATTTGGGGCCTGACTGGGTGAAACAATGGAAAGAACGAGTAACTAATGATTTGGTTCTATGTCCAGAATATTTTACCTTATTCAAAAAAAAAAAAGCCATTGGCACCATAAATGAGGACTGTGAGAGACTGTTTAAAAGCTGTGAAAGCCTGAAACCTATAAGCCAAGGTGTTCCCTGCCTGAGTTAATGTTGTTCCCCACAAAGGACTAAGCCAGTTCCTAAGTTACCAAAGCTGCCATTCTGGAGATAGAAACTGACTGAGGTGGGAAGGTCTTTTATTGGAGAGTATACACAGGCAGATTATTCTGTCTTAGAGGTGCTAATTCTTGCAATCAGACAAAAAGACCCTTTCTTTTCCAATTATGAACTTATAAATAAAATCAGCTTGTCCATCTAAGCCACTGGCTAAAGTACTAGGGGAGGGGCCAAAGGGGTACAGGAAATGGAAGAGTAGGGAAAGAGGAGGGCCCACACTCGGTTGGTAACTGTTGGAGCCTCTGCTTTTTAAACTTTGAACTCTGAAACCATAAGTGGCAGAGTTCAGTCACTGACAGCACAAGTTTCATTAGTCAATTCAAAGGTTGAGTGGTTTCAAAAGCCCTGGTCTCAGGAGATTAGCTTTCATATTGGGGCAGTGGTTCACTTTAAACACATTTTTTAATTTTTTTTTTTGAAGAAAAAAAAAATATTATGAATTAACTGATACCCAAAATGCTGTCTTGAATCATGAAATCAAAGTTCTTGATATCATCTAGACCTGCATCTAGAGCTACATTGTAAAATCTTTTTAGGCATGTATTAGGTTTCTGTGAGATTTTTCTTTAAATGTAAACTTCATACACACTGTCAGTTTTTGTCTTAATAAAACTATAGATTTATAAAAAAAAAAAAAAAAGAGAGAGAATAAAATATAAGTCCAAATTTGGGGACTTACATGGTTTTTATCTAGAGTTAATGCTTTTTAGGCTAATGGCACAAATAACATATACACAATAGTATTTAACTTGGGACTATCAGATACATTTTGCATATTTATCTTCTTATGCTTAAGATAAATATTAATGCCTTCTTTTCAGCCCTCAAGGGGTTATCCACTGTGTTGCCCTGAATGGCCTTGAACAATCCTCTTGTCTCAACCAGTTACTTGTCTCAAGTAACTGGGATTATATGCACATGCCACTGTGTCCAGCTCTCTCGTTTTCTAATACTAGTTTGTGTTCCCTAAAATCTGCTAATCGATGACCCATTTTTAAGAAATAAAGAAATCTGATAGTTAAATGTTTTCTCTAGCTTATCCACACAGAGTTAACAACAACAACGAAAACGAAAACAGTCCTTTTATTTTAAATGCACACTTATGAATGCCCAGTGTAGCGAGTAGAGAGTCTCTGTCTGCCTATCCAATCATAATTTTTAGCTTAGTCAATAAACAAATGTCAAAAATTGGGAACTAGCTTGATACTCAATTAAAAAAACAACAAACCTATGAACTACAACTGGTCTTTGACAAATTAAGTATCGTCTTTACTGCTGACTTTGAGAGAAGCTCAGATGTTTGAGCTTTTCAATAAATTCACAGAAGAGCAACTAGTAATTGAGAATAGAGTTTTATTAAATCAGAAAGAAAACTGACATGGCACATGGCAGTTAGTACCCAGTTTTGGGGGGAGATCTGATTGTGTTATTGACTAATTTATAATTTTCAGTGTGGATGGGGGTCCAAACTGTTTCTGGTCAAAGTCTGAGTTTAACTATCTAGGAGTATGTAAAGTTGTGGAACTGGGAATCATTTGTAGGATTCAGCAGAAGAAAGTAAGTAGGATGCAAAGTTTCATGAGAATGTGACCTCTGGAAAACCCTTACACCAAGCAGTGTTTAAATTTGGTTAAATATTCACAACACAAATAGAAAAACATTCATAGTTGACACAAAGATGAGTTTTGTTCATCTTCCTGTAAAGTTGCTTACTCAGGAAAGGATACCAAATTTGGGACATTCCCATGGTTGCCTTACATAGACAACATACCTCCTTTGTACACCAAAAGGAAAAAGCAGTGATTCAGGGTGTAGGACTCTAGGAGATTGGTTTGCTGAAATTGTTCTTCACTAATTACACATGATTGTTTGTTCCTTCTTTATTTTAGAATAGGAATGACTCATTACAGAAATCTGAGTCATCTAAACTTTGATTCTCTCATTAGAGTTGGCTACTTGAACATCTTTGTTAAGTAAGCCCATAATTTTTTAGTTATTTGTGAAGAATTCAGTTAAATCATCTGCGAAGGTGAATTAATTTTAAAGACACCTATCCAGTATTAAGGAGAATCATTCCATTTTGCCTACTCTAGAAAGGTTCAGCCTAGTTATTTCTCAGGTAAGTTCAGCCAAGACTCAATTTCCCCCTACCCCAAACCTCATTTCATGAGCAGAGCTCATTTCAATCATATTCCTTTGGGAAGAATCTGGCGTTACTGCTAGGTCCATTTCCCACATGTAAAGTCATCCCTGAGCTTTAAATGTTATGTTGAAGGTTGTCATTTCTATTGTGACATGTAAAACTTCAGGGTCATCAAAGTGTTACTTTGGCATAAGCCTCGGTGGCTGGGGGCTGTTCAGGAGCTCCCCTGCCTCCTGTTGTGGAAAGATACCCTCTACCCCATTCCTGTAAGATTTTGGAGGAATCACTGAATGCTGTTCTCAAATCTTAGGAGGTGGACTTGGGAGTTAGTGTTTGCTTCAATCCAGAAGGCTTCTATCTGCAGCAGAAACAGCCCTGTGTAAGAATGGAGAGAGAGAGTGATGAACTTAGATTTCTTACCCTTGATAAACTGATGCAGGGGGACTGCATAACAGCATAACAACTGATAAAATTCTAGCAAGACTCCAAAGCCTGACAGCCCTGGTAAATCCTCTCTAAGCAAGATATTTGGAGAGGTTTTCAAGTTAATTGAATTTTTTTTTAAGATTAAGAGTCTTTTGTACCTCCTTATCATTATCTTGATCATAAAAGGGTAGTGTTTTTTATTTAGACATAATATTTATACCTCCTTATGGGGTACATTATAACAATTTTATATATATATATATATATATATAAAAATATGTAATTATCAAATCAGAGTAACAGGCATTTCCATGTCTTCAAACATTAATTATTATTATTATTTTTTTTTTTTTGCATTTGGGAATTTGTACTCTGAAGTTATTTTGAAATACAGATTGTTTTAACCATAGTTAGGCTGATATGCTAGAAAAGCCAGAACCAATTCCTCTTGTGTTTTGTTGGTCCTTATCTTTCCTCCCTCCCTCTGCCCTATCCTTCCCAGTCTTTAGTGACCACTATTCCATTCCATTATTCTATGCAATTGACCTACTACTTTCCATAAATGAGTGCGAAAATGTGGTATTTTGTCTATCTGTGCCTGGTTTACTTCACTTACAAAATGACCTCCAATTGTTCTAGAACCATTTTTTAAACACACTATCTTTTCTCCACTGTATGTTCTTGTGCCTTTGTCAAAAATCAGTTGGCTGTGTAAAGATAGGATTAATTTCTGGATTCTCTACATGTCTGTTTTTATGACAGCTCCTTACTGTTTTGGTTATTATAGCTTTGTGGTATGTTCTGAAGTCAGATATTATGATATCTCTTCCTTTGGATTTTTTTCCCCCTCAGGATCACTTTGGCTCTTCTGGGTCTTTTATGCATCCATATGAATGTTAGGATTGTTTTTCTGTTTCTGTGAAGAAAATTGTTAGCATTTTAATGAGAATTGCTTACTTTGGTTCATATAATCATGTTAATAATATTCTGCCAATCTGTGAACATGGGATATCTTGTGTGTGTGTGTGTGTGTGTGTGTGTGAGAGAGAGAAAGAGAATTTTTTCATCAGTTTTATCATTTTCATTGTAGAGTTTTTACTTCCTTGATTAAATTTATTCCAGAATATTTTTGTAGCTATTGTGGAGATTGCTTTCTTTTTCAGCAAGTTCATTATTGGGGTATAAAAATGATAGTTTTTTGTTTGTTAATGTATTCCTGCAACTTTACTGAATTGTTTATAAGTTACAACAAATTTTTAAGTGTATTTAGGTTTTTCTATGTCTAAAACCATATCATACTTTCCAATCTGGATGCCCTTCATTTCTTTCGCTTGCCTCCTTGCTCTTGCTAAGAATTTGAGTTCTATGTTAAATAAGAGTGTTCCGATTTAGAAGAAACACTTGGGACTCTTCTGTGTTCAGTATATTGGCTGTGGGGTTTTCAGTTTATCATTTATTGTGTTGAGGTATGTTTCTTCCATATTCAATTTTTCAAGAGTTTTTATTGTGAAGAGATATAGAATCTTTTCAAATGCTTTTTCTATGTATTAGGTGGACTTTATCCTTCATCCTGTGGATATGTTTTATTACATTTATTGGTTTACATGTGTTGGACCATCCTTGTGATGAATTCCACTTGATCATGGTATATGATATTTTTGATATGCTTTTGAATTCAGTTGACTAGTATTTGATTGAATTTTTATACCTATGTTCATCAGCGATATAGGCCTGATAAACTACATTTTTGTTATAGTTCTTGTAAGTCTTTGTCTGGTTTTACTATCAGAAAAGTTTGCTAGAGTTCCTTCCATTTTTTTTATTTGGAATAA